CACATAAACATGTGTCCCAGTGCTGTTTTTTTTTTTTTTCAAAGAAAAAGCACTAACATCCCATTTGGTAAGAAGTGTGGGGTATAATAATTTAAAAATACTTCTGGAAGTTTCTTCTCTCTTATTTGGGGAGCACATGAATTTTGTTGATAGTATGTGCAAGAGTGGGGCTCCCTAAACCCTTTACCTTCTTCTGGGGTTCTGAGATAGAGATCATGAGGGGAAATGTTCAGTGTGTTGGTAGCTGAGTTGGGGCAGGGACTTTATAGTTTTTGAAAGCCTCCCTCTTTCTCTCATGTTCTTTCTGGGGTAAATAATCCAGGGTTTCTTTTTCCTTCAAGAGCATGTGGTGATGAAGTTCACCACCCTATAGCCGTAGCCAAATTCATTGACACACCAAGAATTGAGCTTGACAAAGTGGTCTTTGGAGGCAGAGCTAGCTCCAGCATCAAGCATCAAAAATGGAAGAGCGAATGCCATTATTAAAGTCACAGCCCAGAATGCTCTTTAGTGGATTCTCTCATGTTTGCTTTACTACCTTCTTGATATAATTATATTTGGTTGTTTTCTATGGGTGGTGGGTCAGATCCACAGTGGACATGTTAGGGATAGAACTGTAGAAGACTATACCAGTGAACTTCCCATTCATTTCTGGATGCATTCATAGTCAGTTATTGTAAGGATGGAGTTCTAAGCAGCCTCAAGGCAATCATGCCAGTTTCTCAGAGGGGACACTCACAGTCTTCTGGGTGATGGTAATGGCATGAACTGTGGTCATGAGTTCTTCAATGGTGAAAGCTGTTTATTGATGACCTTGAACTTTAGCAGGGATGTAGTTGGACTTTCTTTGGGACCTCCAGCTCCCTAATAATGACACAGAGACTTATTATTTACGAAAGCTTGCAATTAGCTTAGGTTTGTTCCCAGCTGGCTCTTAAGACTTAAATTAACCCACTTATATCAATTGACATTCTGCCATGTGGTTAGTTGCCTCTCCTCTTCAGTATATCACTGACATCTCCTGTGTCTATATATTCATCCTCATGAGTTCCTCTCTCTACCCAGAAGTCTCACCTAGCTATTCTATCCTGCCTAGCTATTGGCCATTCAGCTCTTTATTAAATCAATCAGGTGCCTTAGGCAGGCAAAGTAAAACAGCAACACATCTTCACACAGTGTGATAAAATATCCTACAACAGGGGGCTACACAGTTGGTGGTACAAGAGGCAATGCTGACAATCTGGTATGAGTTGTTATATTTCTTGTGGTTCACACCTATCACAAACCAGAGGGCATCAGCAGAAGAGGCAGAGATGCTGACCCTTTTGGCTCCACCCTTTAAGTGGGCCCCCACCTACTTGATGATAGACACCAGTAGGTTCCATGGCATACCCAGAACCAGCATCACCCAGTTGATATTGGTGAAATCTCTCTCCTGGAAGATGGAGATGGCATTTCCATGACAAGTTTCCTAATCTCAGTCTTGACTGTGCTGTGGAAATTGCCATGTATGGAATCATACTGGAACTTGTAGACCATGTAATTGAGGTCAGTGGGTCACCAATGGCAACAATATCAATTTTGCCAGAGTTGATGGCAGCCTGGGAGACTGGATGCTCAGTACAGCCAAATTTATTCACTCTGATCTTCACCATCATGTCTCAGGGATGAATCTGATACTGAGTGAGAAGATATGGCTGTTCCTGGAAGGGAAAGGAACAGAGAGCCTTTTCCTTTTCTTTGGTAAGTCCTCATAGTCTAATCTGTTCTCGTCTGGTTTGTGCAGTGCTGAGGGTCAAACACAGGGCTTTCTGCATGCTAGGAAAGCACTCTACCAGCTGAGCTACATCCCTAGTCTCATATCTGGAAGTTTCTTGGCCCATGGGTCACTAGGGTGTAATAATGTCCAGAATATAATTCACTTCTACCCATTTTCTAAGGGAAAAGGAGTCCAACAGGCTGGATGCCCTTTATATAGCTAAAAAGTTTTATAATGAACACATTATTAATGATGTCTCTGGGGGGCTTATTTTTGCAAATTTTTAAAACATTTGGCACAGCAAAATTTGGGGATAAAAGGGAAGATGAAGTAGGACTAGCTTTTATCTCTCACCCTTTTTCCATCTACATTGAGCAGTAATGAGGTGATCATGGGAAGAAAAGGTATAAGCAGTGTTTATTCATATAAGTGTTTTCCATGGAAAAGGACAGTAGACAGGACCTTTGGCTTTAAGTAATGATGTGAATGAGAAGAATAAGAGTAAATTACAGGTCAGAACACTGGATTCTACCAGATCAACAGGACAACCAAACCAGTATTGGAGGAGGAGAAGCAGGGGTAATAGGGAATGTTTAGAGAAAGAAGTGCCTGAGCTGAAGCCTAAAGGACTAGTAGGAGCGAACCACACCAAGGTAGAAGTGAGAGTGTATATAAAGGAAGCAGTGTGTCAAGAACTCAGGGGAAAAACCATGTGGTAGGACCCTGAGGAATCTGGCAAGAATGTACTTTGCAGGGGGTGGGTGGGTGGGTGGAGCTAGAGCTTGGTAGTGATTAAACTGGTGGACTATGAGGCTGGAAAGGGTGGAAAGGAGCCTGGATTCATATGGTAACTTTTATAGATTTGATGCTGAGGTTTTGATTAAGGGAGCTTGAACACTATGTAGCAGGAAAATAACTGACCAGATTTCCATCAGGAAAGATCAAGCCTGCACACACCCTCAATCAGGTATCTGAGGCAGGAAGATTTCTAGTTTCAGGCCATCCTAGGCTGCATTGTCCATTTGAAGCAAAATCCAAAAACTGTAAGAGAAGGTGGAGGGAAATAGGGAGGAAAGAAGTCCAGAGTAGTGTAGATAATGGAATGCAGAGAGCTTGGAGACTGGAGTCTTGGTGAGAAGGGCTGTTTCTTTGAACAGATGTAACTGAATAGCCAGCATACTAAAGAAAGTCCCAGGAAGGGAAACTGATAGGTATTGAATACTGGTGGAAGTTGCAGATAGTGAAAAGATATAGGTTTCATTATTGCTTGTACACTGAGATGGGCAATGGAGGAGATGGATTAGTTCTGAAGGAGAGGATGATTCTGGTTTGGGACAAGCAGAACTTTGGAGGAAATGGTTTATCCAAGAGCTGATATGCAGTGTGCAGCTGGCTGGCCTATGGTGATAGGAAGCTGCTTTGGGAGCTGTTGGCTTTTAAGGTGAGACCTGAAGCAACTGAACAGCATAGATGAACACAGAACATTTAGTGCCTTTAAAGTAGGAGAGTCTAGTATGGTATGTTGCTTGGTGCCTTATAGATACCAAATGCAGTGCTTAAATTATTTGATCAATAGCTGTATTTTTAAGTCATTATGCAATAAGCATATATTTTGTATTTGAAACATGATATCTAATTTTCATTGCTATAGGAAGACTAAATTGTATCACACTTTTCTTTTAAAGTTATGCATATAATTCACAGACATATACTTAACTTATCTAAACATATGTATTTATGTAGAGAGTAAAAATCTTCCTGTTTCGACCTTTCTCCTGGCCCTTTGTCCTCTGAAGACTTTTAAGATGATTTTCTATTTACTATTGCTAAGAGTAGCTGTGTCTGAGTAGACTGTAATTTAGAAATTTGAGATTGTGATTCCTCAGGCATGCCTTTGACTCATAGATATGTTTTGTTAGTGTTTATTAACTAGTCTTCTTGGAAGAGGTACTTACCTTTGCCCTTTGTGGTGAATCCTCTTGATGTTACAGGACATCCAGCTTCATAGTGGAGAGCTGAAGCCCTACATTACTAACTCTGGGATCTCTACAGAACTAGACAGATGCAGAGATGTGTCATTTTCATGGTATAAAAACCACTGCTGTGTGAATGTATGTAGACACACAGCAGTACAACCGGATGTGACATCTAGGAGTTGTGATATGTCTTTGGAGGTGCATTTACATTTTAATATACTCATACCAACTGCTAGCTGCTAAGAATAATCTTTAGGAAATATTAGTGAAAAGTAGTCATGTGTCATTGCCAATTTTATTAAATACCTCCACTAGCCCTGCTTTACTGTGTGTAATGGATTTAAGATTCTAGGGTATATCTGATACATGAACCTCATTAGAGGTATTAAAAGACTAGTAGACATCTGGGGGCATTACTCTTGTGTTAAATGTACATAAAAATAAGCATTAAGGACTGCTACTTGGTAGGAAGGAGAAGATAAATCATATGATTGCCTTTGATATTTGCAGGATCTAAAAAATCAGTCCTGAGCAAAAGCACTGTGAAGTTTCTGGGCATTTCTTTGAAGACTTCAGAATTGTCCTGTGATCTTCTCTGTTTTGGTAAAACAGGACTTTCCTGGATTTAGTAGTTAAAGCCACAAAGTTGAGATCCGTCCCTAAACACTGTTCCTTATGTGCAGCCCACCAGAAGCCTGCTGATGCCTCCTGCTTCCAGCACATGGAGAACCCTCTCTGTTGCCAGCAGCCTACTGTGGCACCAATGCAACAGCCATCTGCTTTTCTTTCTGCTCATATTCCAGCCTCCATTACCATCCAACACTTCATCTAGAGTGGTCTTTTTGGAAACCTAGTCTAATGTGTTAATGTCTGTTTCCCTTCTCTCTTACTTGAATCCAAATCCCTGTCCTCCTTATTTCCATCTCTTGCAGCCCCGGCTGGCTTTGAACTCATTATATAGCCAAGAATAATTACCTTGAATTTCTGATACTCTTGCATCAATTCCCAAGGCTAGGACTACAGGTATGCATCATCATGTCCAGTTTTATGTGGTCCTGGGGATCAAATCTAGGACTTTGTGTATGCTAAACAAACACTGTGCAAATAGCCCTCACATTTTGGTTGTGAACCTAGTCTTTAACAGCTGAGCCATCTCTCCAGCCCCAGCCCTTACTTGTTAATCTACTGTTTTTCTTAGTGTTTGATTGTTTGTTTGGCTTCTATTAACATTTATAAATAAAGATCCAGATAAGCAATTTTTTTGGGGGGGTTCAGTGAACTTTACTGATGATATCCAAGAGAATGGGGCTCCCTAAGTCCCTCTCCTCCTCTGTGGTTTAGTAATGGAAACTGTTAGGGAAGATGCTCAGTAGGGGACTGAGTTGAGACAGGATCTCCTCAGCAGCTGAGGGCCTTTCTTTGCTTCTCATGCTCTTGTTGGGATAGATGGTCCTGGGCTTCTTACTTCTTGGAAGCCATGTAGGCCATGAGGTACACCACCCTGTTTCTGAAACCATATTCATCATCATACCAGGAATTGAGCTTTACAAAGTTGTCATTGAGAGTCATGCCATCCCCATCATCAAAGGCAGAATGTTGGATGCCACTATTAAAGTCATGTGAGACAACCTGGTCCTCAGTGTAGCCAAGGATACCCTTTAGTGGCTCCTGTGATGCCTGCTTCACCATCTTCTTCATGCCATCATACTTGGCAGTTTTCTCCAGGTGGCATATCAGATCCATGACAGACACATTGCAGGTAGGAACACAAGCCTTGTCAGTGAGCTTCCTGTTCAGGTCTGGGATGACCTTGCCCACAACCTTAGCAGTACCAGCAGATGCAAGGATGATAGCCTGGAGAGCCCCATGGCCATCATGCTATAGCTTCTCAGATGAGCCATCCAGTCTCCTGGGTGGCAGCGACTGCATAGACTGGCCATGAGTCCTTCCACAATGACAGAGTTGTCATGGATGACCTTGGCCAACAGGGTTAAGCAGGTGGTGGTATAGAAAGCATTACTGACAGTCTTGAGTGAGTTGTCATACTTCTCATGATTCACACCCATCTCAAATTTGGGGGCATAAGCAGAAGAGACAGAGATGATGAGCCTTTTGGCTCCACCCTTCAGGTAGGCCCCTGCCTTCTCCATGGTGATGAAGACACCAGTAGACTCTAAACATACTCGGCACCTGCATCACCAAATATGATGTTGCTGGACTTTGCTCCTGGAAGATGATGATGACCTTCCGGTTGATGACAAGTTTCCTTTTCTCAGCCTTGACTCTGCTATGGAATTTGCCATGCGTTAGAGTCATGCTGGAACTTGTAGACTATGTAGTTGAGGTCAGTGAATCAGGTCACCAATGGCAATAATATTCACTTTGCCAGAGTGCCCATTAGGGCCAAATCTGTTCACTCTGACCTTTTCCACAGTATCTCATGGACTAGGCTGGCACTGCATGAGAAGATGCAGGTGTCTCTGGAAAGGAGAGGAACAGAGACAGATCAATTTTCAAACTAGGATAGCAGTGAATTTTCTGGAGAGTTTTTAAATATACACACCTGGGCCCACTCCTGTCAGTACTGCTCAGTTAAATTGTGGGGTGTAGATAATTGCTGTTTTTAAGAAGCTCCCAGATGACACTGCTTGTGTGATTAGAGTGGTAACCAAATTGGGTTCTTTCAACTCAAGTGGGAATTACCATTCTTTCAGAAGTAAATTAAAGCTACAGGTGCCCTTGTCCTAATAAGTGCTCTGTTCAGAGCCAGTCGCCTTCTGGGTGGGTGTGTGCCTTGTCATTGTGCTGCTATTTTTTCACTCTGTCGTTTTAGCACCTATGTGGGTGGCCTCCACAGCTAATGCCCTCCTTCAATGTAGAGTGCTGTTATAATAACTAAGTCCTCATGAGAACATTAAAGGATACAACTGTTCCCCAGACCTTTATTTGCTTGGCAATCCTGGTCCCCCTTCTACTTCCACATAACTTCTACTGTCTGAATATAGCTTTGCTTCCCCCAGGGTTCTGTAGGTAAACACACAGTATTAGGAGTCCTTTCTTTTCGTTTGATTCAGAATGATTTTTTTTCTACAGGATCTTGGTTGGTTTTCATATTTTTTTATGCCTTCAGTCATCACTGTGTTCTGATAACATTTTCCTATTATGTTGTGCCACTCTATCATCCTTTTATATTTTATTATATATATACATATATATATATACACTTATAGTAACTCATATTTTATATGAGGCATTTTAAAAAATGGAAGAAGGGCCTGGAGAGATAGTTCAGTTGGTAAAGTGCTTGCTATGCAACATGAATTTAGATCCCAATTAACCGCATAGAAAGTTTGGGGCTGGCATGTGTCTGTAACCCCAGCTGGCATGTCATGGGTACAGAGACAGGTAGATACGAGGGCCAGCAGGTAAAACTGAAAAACAGTAAGTCCCAGGTTCAGAGATAGTCCCTGTCTCAAAAAATAAGGTTGGGAGTGATAGAAGACACCTTATGTCCACCTCAGACCTCACACATGCATTTTTTAGTAGAAACACCTGCATACACTGGTGCACTGCTGAACCAGAAATTCCTAATAATTTTTTTAATTATCCTGAGAAGTGTCCAAGGAATTTAGCAGACTAGTCACAGAAGAGGAGCAATGGATGTTTTAACCAAATGGAAAAACATATTCATTCTGTTAATGAAAAATGCATTTGAACTTGTAAGATACTATTTTTCTTGTATAAAGTTAGCAAAGTGTGTTTGTGTGTATGGGTGTGGATGTGATAGTAGGGAGTGTATGAGGAGTGGAGAGTGTATGAAATACAGAGAACAGGACATTGTATGTAGGCAGGAGTGCAGAAGACATTCTCATATACTTGTGGAATGAAAAGTGACACAATGTAGCTTGGCAGGATGGGTCTTGAGGTTCAAGATTAGAAGCAGGTCTTCCTACTTCATATTAAGCAAAAATATCTCAGAGGTGTGTCCTACATTTTGGGGTCTTAGTTAATTCCAGATATAGTCAAGTTGACAACCAAGAATAGCTATCACAGTAGTAATTTTTAACTATGATAAATCTATGCAGCTAACAAAATTGAGCAAACAAGGTGATGCTAAGAAAATACTGCAATTACAGAGATGATGCTTTGATGAGAAAGCACCCATAGCATATTGAGCCACAACAAAAAGAACAGTGAGACTTCACAGTCATGGTTATTATTGTGGTTTGAATTATGTGTTTTTACTATACAGTCTTATGGTCTTTATTTTCTATGTTTCTAAAGTAAGTATATTGTTATTAAAAATGAAATTCTTATATTGCCAACTTGTCCCACAGAAATGTATGGATGAAAATAATCAAATGAAAATGTTTAACCAGATAAGCATAGTAAGAATACTCAATAACACAGGAAGTATTTGTCATAAACATTAAAATGAAAATAGCATTACTGTATACATTATCTAGTTGGGTTAAATGTATTTGTGTGTGTGAGAGAGAGGGGGCCAGAGGGAGAGGGAGAGAGATCAAATACTGACAGTACTGATCTTTGGGTATTGTATATTTTTGGAATTTCTTGAATTTTTATTTATTTTTATTTTATGTGCATTGGTATTTTGCCTGCATGTATGTTATGTGTGGGAGTGTCAGATCTTGCAGTCACAGACAGTTGTGAACTGCCATGTGGGTGCTGGAAATTGAACCTGGGTCCTCTTAGAAGAGCAGTCAGTGCTTTTAATGAATCAGCCATCTCTTCTTTATGCCTTTACTTTTATTATGACTCAGTTTTTATCACTGCTGTGGCAGCATGTCTGGCAGAAACAAGTTAAGGGAAAAAGGATTTATTTTGACTTACAGTTTCTGTGCTGGCTAGCTTTATGTCAGTTTGACACAAGCCAGAGTTATCAGAGTAGAGGGAGCCTCGAAGGAGAAAATGCCTCCATACAATCCAGCTGTAGGGCATTTTCTTAATTAGTGATTGTGGGCGTGCCCAGCCCATTGTGGGTAGTGCTATCCCTGGGCTGGCAGTCCTATGTTCTATAAGAAAGCAGGCTGAGCAAGCCAGTAAGCAGCACCCTTCCATGGCCTCTACATGAGTTCCTGCCTCCAGATTCCTTCCCTGATTGAGTTCCTGCCCTCACTACTTCTGATGATATTGTTATATGGAACTGTGAGTGAAATAGATCCTTTTGGTCATGGTGTTTTATCACAGCAATATTAACCCTAATTAGGACAGTTTCAATGGTGTCAGTCATGATTGCTTGGATCTACACATCTGGCATGATATCATTTTCGATGTGTGACAGAGACTGTTCTTGGTAGATGGAAAGCAGAAAGGGGAAACACAGGAAGAGTTCAAGGCAGGAGATAAGCCTTAAGGGCATGTCCCCTTCCTCTTCACCCACCTAATTACTGCCATCATACTGTAAATCCCAAGTGATAGTCATTATGATCTAACTGCTTCTGGAAACACCCAGAGATGTGTTTTTACCGATATAGATGTTTCTAAAGCCAGTCAGTCAGTGAAAATTGACCATCACAGAGTACCTTTCTATAGTATTAAATACACTTTTGTATCTCCCAGTTTGCCATATAGAATATATATGGCTTTATAATCATCTTTACTTTCTGTATTAAAAAGTCAGGTTAATATGTCTGTCCTGTCCTCTATACTGTGCTTTATACTTTCAAACATACTAAAATATTTGTCATGGAGGGGAGGTTAGAGGAACTTAAAAGAAGTGCCCATGTAATTAATTTAGAATTTATTAAATGAAGACTGGGAGATGACTCAGTGGGAGATGGCTCAGTGGATATAGTGATTGCACAATAATGAAAACCTGAGTTTAGATCCACAGTACACGCATAAAATCTGGTTGCTGTGGTGCTCACCTATAGCATCAGTTCTGGGGTTGGTGTGGAGGTGGGTGGGCACCTGGAGCTCTGTGTAGCCATTCTAGATGAAACAGCTGAGCCTTGGGTTCAGTAAAGGAAACTCTGTCTCAAAAATATGGTGGGTAGTGATAGAGGAGGAAACCTGATATTAATCTCTGGCCTCTGCATGTGCACAACCATGCATACCCCCCACACAGAGTAAATAATTAATTAAATTAAGATAAACTTCCATACAACTTTAAAGAGATGAATTATTATTTCAGTTAAAGATATATATGTATCTTATATTTTTAGATTTATTGCTATTTTTATGTATATGTTTTGCCTTAATATATGTCTCTATACCACATGCCAGATGTCTAAGAAGATGATGAGTCTCCATGTGGGTGCTGGGAATCAAACCCTGGCCTTTTGCAACAACAAGAAGTGCTTTTAACCATTTGTTGTTAAACTCTACAGTCCCAATGTATTTTAATTTTAATTGCATCCATTGTGTGTGTGTGTGTGTGCGAATGCATGAAATGGTATGTTTGTGGAGGTTGGCAGTCAGCTTTTCAGGAGTCAGTTCTCATTTTCCAGTGGGTCTTGGAGATTAAACTCTGGTTGTCAGGCTTGGTGGCAGTTGCTTTCACCCATAGAGCCACTCACAGGCCTTTAAGATATAAGAAAACATAGTTTTCAAACATCTTACCTCTACCATAGAATGTTGGCCACATGGTAATGATGAAAAACTGCCTTTGTGTCATTTTTTAAAAAATAACTTTGAATGTTTTAATAATTTCATTGTGATTTACATAGAGAAAACATGCAGATTTTAATTGTGCAGTTTTGAAAAGGGTAATCACCACCCCAAGCCATATTATATAGAAACCCTGGAAAAGATGTTTCATCCTCTCTCTTGTCATTATTCAGATATAATTTTTTGTTTTGTTTTGTTTTTTGTTTTTCGAGACAGGGTTTCTCTGTGGCTTTGGAGGCTGTCCTGGAACTAGCTTTTGTAGACCAGGCTGGTCTCGAACTCACAGAGATCCACCTGCCTCTGCCTCCCGAGTGCTGGGATTAAAGGCATACACCACCAATGCCTGGCTCAGATGTAATCTTTTTAAATTTTTTACTACCAGAAATTACTTCTGTCTTCCCTAAAATTCTATAAGCCAGAATGATATATTTTCTTTTAGGTCTAAGCTTCATTTGTTCAATATGATTTTGAGATTAATCTGTTATATATGTATTAGGTAAATACTCTTTATTTTAAA